TGTGTGTGTGTGTGTGTGTGTGTGTGTGTGTGTGTGTGTGTGTGTATGTGTGTATGTATGTATGTATGTATGTATGTATGTATGTATGTATGTATGTATGTAATTTATATACTGTCCCATTAGTGTACAGCATTATTCTGGGCAATGTATGTATAGAACAAACAAGTGGCAAAATACAAGCAAAATAAAACAGCTCACCAGAACAGGAAAATAAAGCAACATTAAAACTAATGGTGCCACGAAACAGAGACCATGTAAGGGTGAGTAACTTCAAAGGAGGCTGCTTTTAAATGCCCCTCAAAGGAGTTTTTTTTTCAGCAGCCTCTTTAAACTGTGGAGGGAGGAGACCAGGTGTAACTCCATCAGGAGGTGATTCCAGAGAGATGGTATACCACTGAGAAGGTCCAACCTCCTGTGGATGATTTTCTGACTTCCTTTGGCATGGCTACCCAGAAGAGCATAGCCTGGGAGGATCTGATGGTGTGGGAAGATGACTTTGTGGGGAGATGCGCAGAAAGGTAACGTGGTCCCAAACCATGGAAGGTTTTATAAGTACAGTAAGTGTCAAAATCTTGAACTAGTAATAATCCAGGATTCTTCAGAGTTTTGGCTTCATGTGGCATGCCCTTGTATCCAATGTGCTAAAATTACATCTTACGTTTAGTTAGTATGCAGATGTGATCACTGGAAAAATCCATCTACTTTGACAGAACTTTGGCTTTTAAAAAAACCAATTATGCAAGGTTCTCTCTAAGCCAGGCGTGCTTGTGGGCGCATGACTCCACCTCCCTCTGTGCAGCTCTCTTCCTCCTCTGCAGAGCAATCATGTTCAACCCCTTTGGTTCCAGTCATGATGGAACTCTGCACATGGGTGGGACGGAGTGGCCACCCAGCCATGCAGGGGTGAACTTGCGTGAGAGAGAGGTGGAGCCCTGCCCAGAGGGACTGAAAATTAGAGGGTACATTGACAATTAGGCTCAGGTATTTTCATGTGTTTTATTCAGTTCCCAATCTATTGACAGTTTATAGTATATGAATATGAAAGTGCCCATATAGAAGGGGTTTGCCAAATGTCCTGACGTCTTCTCTATGGCCACTTTGCACTTCATATAGAATAAATTCTGGACTTTGAGCTCAGTAGATGCACAGAGAAAAGAGGCCTTAGGTGACACAACATGTCGAAGACAATTAAAAGGCTCTAGGCAAAGAACAGAACAACTGCTGTAACTCTTGATCTCAGAAATGCTGGTATATGTTACACGCACAGTTGGCCGTCTTGTGCTTCATCTGACATCCTGCTCAAACTGCTGGGATATTGTCAGGATTCTTATTTGTTTATTTTGTCTCCCACACTTTTCAACAAGAGAGGCTTTACTTTAAACAATCTTAATTGTTTTCCTTTCCTCAGCATGATAGTTATATAATTATTATTCTCCTGATACGGTTTCATCATCTAAGCATAATGAGCATTTGCAAAATACTTTGATGTTCAAAAAGGATGGCAACACATTCAGTGTTGTTATTGTTTCTACGATGGATAGACTATGGTTCTGTAGACCATTATGAACCATGAAATCTGGAAAAGAACAGATTGTTTAAATCCAGAAAGTATTAAAGACATATTTAAGAAGCATCTTCAAGAAGCATATTCTCTTTCTAGCCCTGTTCAGACATCAAGCGGGTGCAGTGAATGTATGGAGGGAGCTTGAAGGAGAGCAGGGCATCAAGCGGTCCCTCAACATGTGCATATTAATAGCCAGGTCTACATGGAGTTTACATGCATGCAGCTATTATTTCTATCTCTTATATGATACCGATAAGCAAGTTGACAGCAGGCTACATCACGGAACCTCGAGGAAAAGGTTCCAGAAGCTTCTGAGAAGTGTTCTAAGAAGTGTCCGTTGGCTCAGAATCGCAAGGGCATATTTGTAGGAAAGAAGGCTTTCTATATCTTTCCATTAGATGTTGAGAATCAACAGCTTTAATTATCCTTGTGTCCGTTGGCCTATTCCTGTGGAGCTCCTGAACTGAACCCAGCCAATTCCAAAAACATCTGGTGAGATCTGTGTACAATTATGTTCCTGCAAAGTGCCTGATTTTTGTCACTGGATCCTGGGAACAAAGAAATTGAGATCCAAAGGAGGGAAGAAACTAGGAATGAGTGGGAGTGAAAGATTATTCCCTTCCCTCCCATGACCTTCCAGATGCTCTTGGACTGCAGCTTCTCTTGCCTCTCCCCATAGTCTCTGCTGTCTATGGGAGCTGCAATCAAAGAAAAACCTGGTGGGCCGCAAGTTGCTGACACTTGTCCTAGGGCTAAGGTCCTTTATCACTGTCAAAAGACAACAGGGGCTATGTCAGGTACTTTATTTCTGGAGGGCTACTGGTGAACATGCTGTCATGAGACTTACAGTTTTGAATACTTTGTTGTTGTTTTTAGTCATGTCCGACTCTTCGTGACCCCATGGACCAGAGCACGCCAGGCCCTCCTGTCTTCCACTGCCTCCCAGCCATTTCCTTTATGAAAACTTACCAGCAGTTGTGTCTGGATGATTTCATATCTAACCACCAAAACAAGCAATAAGTCTTGAAAAGCAAAGGGTGCTTAGAAACCCCCTTTCCAGTTGTCTACTGACAAATACTAAAGAGAGTCCTCTTCCACATGGGACATGAAATTCATTAATATAACAAGAGCAACAGCGTCATAGTCCTTAATCAACATCCAGGTGTGGTATTGGGGTTATACACATCCCATCGTCTCTCATGTCCTCACTGAGTGACAGTGGTGTTATGCAGAAGGATCTCTCCTGATAGACTTCAGACCTGGGCAGTCTCATAAAGGGAGACATGGTCTTTGACATGGCTTGGACCCAAGGCACTTAGGCCTTTGATAGACCAAAACAAGCCCTTTGAATTGTGCCTGGAAACGAAGCAGCAGCCAGTGGAGCTACTGTAACATCCGACTGCAGCATTTTGAACCCACATCAGTTAGAGTACTACTACCTTGTATTTGAACACCAAGGGCGGGAGGGGAGTAAAGTCTGCTGCTTATATACTGCCCCACAGTGCCTAAAGCACTCTCTGGGCAATTTACTTATTTTATTATTATTATACAGGCTACACATTGCCCCCACCCGCATGAGATGGAAGGCTGACTCAACCTCAAGCTGGGTGTCAGATCTGTTGGTATTGAACGCTGACCATGAGCAGAGTTTTGGCTGCAATACTGCAGTTTAACCACTGTGCCAAGAGACTTTCTCAAGGAAGAAGCTGTGCAAACCTGGAGATTTTATTTTATCAAAAGTGGCAAAGTCACATTATTTAAAATTGCCTTGTCTCTAGCCAATAGATCAAGGCTTAGGGAACTGCTATATTTCTCTGGATCTCTAGGCAGATGACAGATCATAGAGCAAGCCGTAATGGAGGTGTTAAAGGTTTCATTTTTATGTCTCCCCCGTTTTTAAAGCCTGGCTGTCCACCTCCATCACTCTTAATTTGCACCTGGGTATAGTGTCTTAGCATGAAGCCATGGAAATGGGTTTGCTCTCAACAGCACAAAAGAAACAGATTATACCTAATTATTGTTGTTGCTGCTGCTATTGTGTTTGCAGTTTGACCCAATGTTCTCTTTAGAAACATAAGGCAACTTTAATAGGATACTTGAATCAACTAAAAATTACCCAATTCAGAATTTTGTATTAATAAGAGTTAACATATGGTATGGGAGCTACATAGACATCCCATATTAGGAAAAGGCTCTTACAAATAAAAATGTCTTCACCTGTTAGTGAAATAAAATAAGATGTGGCAAATCTCTGCCTGGGCAGATCAATTCAAAGGGTGTACAGTATTGCTGTTACAAATAAGACTGTGATCAGTTATTATTACCTCCAGGTAAAGGGAAAAGGGAATAAAATCCTTCTTTGTGATTAGGTTGAGCAGGAAAGAATGTATGAAAAGAAATGTCCCCTAAACTACTTGAATCTGTTCAGCTTCACAGGAAACACAGGTGGTTTCGTTATCTCTACTCCTAGAGAGGCCATAATAGCATTCTAGCACGTGTGCAACACATCATGTTTGGTCCAAATTCTGTCGTCCTCAATGGTTCTTCTGACAGAAATGCCAGGCTATGGAACGCGGAAGCAAATCTGGCAGGGAGCTTTGGACACGCAAACCGATGGAACTTGAAAAAGCCATCCAAGTGAGTGTTCCTTCGCTGCAATTTTTTTAAAAAATGTTCTTTTTAAACACCATTGTCCCATGGGATAGATACAGAGAAATCTGATGTAAGTGGAAAGTGCTTCAATATACACACACAACGAGCAGAGTACAAGGCAGAGTACAATCCAGCACTTGAACCACTTGATAGTCTTTCTCCATTAGTGCGGACCCTCCTCCCTAATTATAAAAGTAACCTTAAAAATTATGCTTATACTGCAAAAGGAGTGAAGATAGCCCTCAAGTTACAAACATAGTGTAGATATACCTTAGTTAGTGGTGAAAGGAATTTGTTGGCAAGTAATTATTTATAACTAGTTTCTTTAAAACTCTGGTTCCCAAGGGTCTGATGAATTACTCAGGAGCAGCTTGAGGATGCAGAGGGAGGGAAGAGTCAGGATAGCCCCATTGTTCTGGTGGAGGAGGTGTCTGAGTCCATCTTCTCTGAATCCAGTCTTAGTATCATTTCATATACCCTTCCACTCAGTGGTTTGTGTAATTAATATATATGCATTAATAGAGTACTAGCAAACCTTTGCAGTTTGATACTATTGCTGTGAGATTATTTGATTCTGTCTCTAAATGCCCACAAATGCCATGCAAAGTTTATGTTATGTTCAGAACATATAAATAAACTATGAAATTAGTTGATCTTCTAGGTTGGTTGCAGCCATTTACACTAGACACATGTTCAACTCTGCTTCAAATACATCTTCAGCTGAGAAACAATGTATTGGATCAAGTTACCTAGAAATTAAAATAAAAAGCTCCAGACCATGTGATTTATTTATTTCCAGGAATATGCAGAGGAGAAATCCACACATATTGGATTAAGCCAAGCATCACCCAGATGGGGGTGAGGAATCTTGTTTTCAAAACCTAACTGAAGGTGTGGTTTCATGTTGAAAAAACTCTTGATTTGTGTCAGGTTTAGCACACTTGAAATCAATTTTTAAAAAATTTCCATTCATATGACATGTAGTTGAACATGTTTTTTTTTTGTTTGGAAAACAAAGTATTTTAAAAAGCCTCAAGGGGGCTTTTTATTTCGACTGAGCTGTAGAAATGATTTATTTCGAATTATTTGGACTTGTGCTTGCCTGTGTCAGAGTAAATTGTATCTGTGCAGTTTGTGAAGTAAAGGATGCCAGGATCATGGGTCTGGGGCTGCAGGAGAACCTTGCAGTCTGATCTATTTTATATATATATAGATCTCTGATATATGATCTAATATCTGTAATACTAATCTGTAATACTCGAATAGCTCTCTCTCTCTCTCTCTCTCTCTCTCTCTCTCTCTCTCTCTCTCTCTCTCTCTCTCTTATATCACCAGTGTTATTTTTAACTATATATATGTTATTACAATTTTTATATATTGTTATACTATTTTAACTATATATGTTTTTCTATCTGTAATACTGGAATAGTGCTATCTCACTTTGAAAGAAATTAAAAATTAAACAAATCTTAAAAATAACACTGGTGATATGCAGCAGTGAGTGGCTGTGAGAGACATGTATGCTTGCCTCTCTGCTCTCTCCCCCCCTCCCATCATTCCTCCTGCTTTTAATCAAAGATGGAGGGAATCAGAAGAACAAGAAAGAAAGAGCCAGCAGAGAAAGACTGAGTGGAGCATAGGGTTCCCACTAACTTTGGAGGCACCAGTTGTCGGGAGAGACATATGAAAAGTGCAGCTTCAACATCTGTGGCCACCATTTCAAACTCGATCATAGCCACATCAGCCTTTGTGTGCCATGTCTGGCCTCCTGCAGGGCCACTTGCCCTACTGAGTAACATCCAATTTCATCTGAGTATTTAGGAGCTCAAAACCAATGGACTGAAGCAATGCATTTATTACAGCAGCTATTAGCAGTTGTATCATCCACTGCTCACTTCACAGCCCAAACATAGAGATACCCCGGCAATGTTGGCAGCTGCATTGGAGAGGGTTTCCCTCTTTGGTAATTATGCACATTTCCCTAGGTTTTCACAGCAGTCCTCTCAGGATGCTTAGTACCATTTAGCTTATAGTACAATCTATATGCAGTTAATTCTGGAGACTTTCAGAGAAGTTGTAGCTTCTGAGGCGTCTCACATTTCCAACCATATGAATAAGTCATCAAGTGGCATTTCTCAGAGTAAAATGTAGCCTGCAATGTCTGGCCACTCACAATTGAAAATAAATAACGAATTGCTATCTATGCAGCAAGTAGTAATTTTGATGTCAAGTGAATTATTATCCAGTCAACTTCTAATGCATTTGTAGCCAAATAAACTTACATCTCCTACTCAGCATGTAAAACTGCAGCTGAAGCTAAGCCAACTGCACCCTCTTATTTTTGTGAATGAAGGCTGATCTTATAAATCATCTGTACTTAACTTTTACCAACATTTACCAATGAGAAAGCATAAAACTACTTCCCTCATTTCTCCATAAGAATACTAGTAAGAATTCTGATCATTCCGTTTTTGGTTCTCCATAAAATAATACTTTACTGCCACCTTCTAAATTTTCAGCTAAAGAAAAAGCTGGGTCAGAGCCAAGTCAAGAAGATGAAATTAGGCAGAAGTCTTTTGCAGGATGATTATATGCCAGTTTTGTTTATAATTTTGTGTACTCTAGGGCTGTCTGCTCCTAAAACAAAGCCACAGCAAAAGGGTAGTCCTCAGGATGGACCAGTTCCTGATGTAGTACATGTAGGGCAACAATACAGCATCACCAAAAACTATCACTCACTCTACATATTTTATATTTATAGGAACAAGTTATGGACAGTCTAAGATTCCTGTAGCAGCTTGTGATGGCTGCCTTAGGGTGTGGCTGCATTGACAAATAATGTGGGAAATGCTCCAGGATTGGGACAGTCTGATTCACATTATTTTCTAATGATTACCTGATCTAAAAGTCAATGTGAATCAGCCTGGAGTTTACCCCCAAATCTGTAGGTTTTTTCCTTTGCCTGTGGAGCTTCTCCTTTTCGGACTCTTAATGCATTCATGTCATTTCAGGCAGCGTAAGCTGATGTAGAGGAATTCGTAGCTGCTGTATCTGTAACCAGCCACAGTAGGGGAAACAAGCAGACCCAGGCAGGCACCAGATATTGGGAGGCGGGATCCAAAACAGTTTTGTAGTTGATTAGTTGTTAAGTTGTGTCCGACTCTTCATGACCCCATGGACCATAGCATGCCAGGCCCTCCTGTCTTCCACTGCCTCCCAGAGTTTGGTCAAATTCATGTTGGTAGCTCTGATCATACTATCCAACCATCTCATCCTCTGTCATCCCTTTCTCCTCTTGCCTTCACACGTCCCCAACATCAGGGTCTTTTCCAGGGAGTCTTCTCTTCTCATCAGAAGAGAAACAGTTAACAAGCTGTAAACAAGGCCAATTTTCCTCCTCTTCTCTCTGCTGGCTCCTGTGTGATTGGCTGAAGTGCATTACCCTGGGGAAGCCATCCACGTTCTTCGCACTGTGTATTCACACCTTTAGATTCTGAACTTCTTGCTCCTTTAAGGAGAGAGATGCCCTCTTTTTTTCTTTTTAACACCAAGAAAAAGGACCTCTGAGGAACCACTGAAAGGGGCTCATGAGGTCATAACTCTTGGTATTAAGACTACTCCTTCTGGGTCTTTATTTGCTAAAGCCTGTCCTCCTTTGAATAGTGGATTCACTAGATAATTCAGAATTGAATGGGAAATCTTTATGTCAAGGTTTATTCAAGTGTTGCCATTGATAGCCGGTGTCATTAGAGGTTCTATTTTATTTTCAGTTAGAAATATTGCTGTCACTACTGTGATGCAAATCACTATCATCATCATCATCATTATCTTAGAACTGCAGAGCTGGAAGGGAGCCTATGGATCATTACATCCAGCTCCTCTCAAGGAGACACAGTGCTGAATTGAACTCCCAATCTCTGGCTGTACAGCCAGATACCTAAACCACTGAGCTATCCAGGATTCGGAAGGCAGATTACCTTGCCAGGTCTAATTTAGCTCCCTACAAGGGGAGGCATTTGTTTGAAGAGCACGCATTAAAAAACATGCAAATTTTTCTGCTTTCTTGGAGCATCATAGAAAAAGACGACCAATCCCAAACCAAACAGACTGAGTTGACTCACAAAACTTCACAGGTTTAGCTTTCAAGTAAAAAAACATATTAGTGGAGGCCAAGGATAAAAACCCAGGAATGCCAACATTACAGAAAAGGAGAGAAAGTCTTTCAACAGATCCACATCTGCTCACTGTTCCTATCCCCACCCCTACTATATTTAGGGACTTTACATAATTCGAACTTTACTCAGCTAGATCTCGATTTACTTACAGGACATTAAATCTCCAGCCCACACATCATGCAGAGAAGGCCATTCTTCCTTGTGAGACAGATGCCAAGAATACTGACAGTCTTCCTCAGGCAGTAGGAGGCAGACTTCTGTCTTTTAGGGAAACATGGAACCATACCACTCTGGGCAAGTGGGTTCTCCACCCAGTAATACTAGGCAATTTCCTAGAGATGGACAGAACCCCCAGTGGACAGGTTTCTGTCCTCATTCATGTCATATAAGCCAACCAAAGAAGTGTTGGTGGATCCAGCAGTTCAACAACGTCTACAAACTGAAGCTATAGAACCAATCCTGGAACAGGAGGGGGAGGAGAGTGTATTCCATCCCCTTTTTTATTCCAAAATATGGAGGACATCTAAGCACTCAGCCTTAAACTTGAAATACCTGAACTCAATCAATAACAAGCAATGAATGAGTTCAGGTATTTCAAGTTTAAGGCTGAGTGCTTAGATGTCCTCCATATTTTGGAATAAAAAAGGGGATGGAATACACTCTCCCCCCCCCACCCCTCCTGCTCCAGGACTGGAGCATGGAAACTTTGCATATGATCACAGAAGCTGTACAGAATACCCAAAACATGGAAGGAGGCGGTCATTACTATTATACATAAGGAAGGTACAGAAGTGGAGGAAATATCGAACT